CGGCCATTGCAGCCATTTGGGGAGTGAACCAGTGGACGAAAGACCTTTCTGTCTCTCCCTCTCACTGTCTGTGAGGCTACTTCTAAAATAAATAAAATAAATCTTTTAAAAAAAAGAATTATAGCATATATACACTATGAAGTACTACTTCGCTGTATATTAAAAAAAGAAATCCTGGCTGGTGCTGTGGCTCACTTGGCTAATCCTCCGCCTGCGGCACCAGCACCCCAGTTTCTAGTCCCAGTTGCTCCTCTTCCAGGCCAGCTCTCTGCTGTGGCCCGGGAGGGCAGTGGAGGATGGCCCAAGTGCTTAGGTCCCTGCACCCGTATGGGAGACCGGGAGGAAGCACCCAGCTCCCGATCGGCGCAGTGCCAGCCGTGGCGGCCATTAGGGGAGTGAACCAATGGAAGGAAGACATTTCTCTCTGTCTCTCTCTCTCATTGTCTATAACTCTACCTATCAAATAAAAAAAGAAAGAAATCCTCTTTTGCAACAAGATTGATACAACTGGAAACCATTATACTTACTGAAGTAAGCCAGTCCCAAAAAGACAGACATCATGTTTTCCCTGATCAGAGTTAACTAATAGAATACCTAAAATGTAATGTTTAGCAGTGAAATGGACATTGAGATTTTTTTTACAGCTCTTGTCTCTTCCACTGAGGAACACTGGTTTTTTTCTTCATACTATTTGTTGAACTGTTTTACTTATTTCCAGGTTAACTATATGATCATTAAGTAAACTTAAAATAGATCTTTGTAAAAATTAAGAATGGGAATGGGAGAGGGAGGAGGAAGAAGGGTTGGAGTATGGACGAGAGGAAGGGTAGGGTGGGAAGTATCACCATGTTCCTAAATTTGCATATATGAAATACATGAGATTTGTATAACTTAAATAAATTATTTTAAAAATGGGCAAAGCATCTAAATTCATATTTTTCAAAGTAAAAATACAAAAGCCAACAAACATATGCAAAAAGTGATCAGGATCACTAGCCATCAGAGAAATGCAAATCAAAATACAAGGAGATATCATCTCAATCCAATGAGAATGGCTATTATCAAAAAGGTAAAAGGCTGGTTTCACAGCTCACTAGGCTAATCCTCCGCCTGCGGCACTGGCACCCCAGGTTCTAGTCCTGGTTGGGAGCCCGGTACTAGTCCCGGTTGCTCCTCTTCCAGTCCAGCTCTCTGTTGTGGCCTGGGAAGGCAGTGGAGGGTGGCCCAAGTGCTTGGGCCCTGCACCCGCGTGGGAGACCAGGAAGAAGCACCTGGCTCCTGGCTTCAGATTGGTGCAGCGTGCTGGCCGTAGTGGTCATTTGGGGGGTGAACCAACGGAAGGAAGAGGACATATTCCTGAACACGCAGCTCTCTCTTTCTCCGTCTCTTGATCTCTCTCTCTCTCTCTCTCTCTATCTCTCTCTTATGCTCTTCTCCCTCTTCTTCTTCGCCCCTTCCTTCTGTTCTATCAGGTTTCCCCACCAATAAACCCTTTCCCTTAAAAAAAAAAAAAAAGAAATCTAAGTGTCCATCAATGGATGAAAAGGAGAATGAGGTATACATACACAATGGAATATTACTCAGCCTTAAGAATAAAATAAACATTTTCATTCACTGTCAACAAAATGAATGGAATTAGGGATCATAACATTAGGTGAAATAAGCCAAAGAATGACAAATACCATGTTTTTTTCATATGTGCAAATTAAATATATTATACGCATGTATATCCTGGTGTGTATGTATGTATCTATATGAATCTAAAATCATGATTATTAGAGATTGGGAAGGGTAGGTGGTTGGGGAAACTCTGATCATACCTAAATGCAGCTGGGCGAAGGTGATGGGTTCTGGTGTTCCACAGAATAGCAGGGTAACTACGGCCATAAGAGAGGGAAGGACTAACTGCCAGCTATGATTGGTTTATGCCATGTATGTTTGTTGAAATACTGCACTATACCCCATAACTTGTACAGGTATTTCATGTTAATCCAAAATGTTAAAAATAAATTAACTTTAGGACCCCACATTATGACATAGTGGGTAAAGTCACCACCTTTAACGTCAGCACTTCATATATTAGTGATGGAATTAAAATGTAGTATAACCTAAATGGAATGCAGTTTGATATTATGCACTAAAACTGAAGACATGGATATCATACAGCCCAGAAATGGAAAGAATGCACACGTATACCAAGGAACACACACACACACATGTCTATCAACAGATGAGTACATGCACAAAATATGGGGCAGGTGTTGTGGCAAAGTACATTAAACCACTGCATGAAAGTCTCAGTACAGATCACCCTTAAAGGGTGGCCATGGGAAAACTATCATAAAAGTAATTCTCTAATGTCCCACAACATGCTAAATGATAGAGGGTAGTGATATGGCTCACGACTACACAGATTTCTCCAAACTGAAATTCCAAATACTTGGCAAACAGATAAATTAAGCTTTAAACAAATGAGGTCTTAATTTTGCCTTCTTATTTTAAAAGGCCAAGCATTTTCTGTGAACTTTCAGCTTTGATCTGTCCCTCTTGTCTAGAAGGGTACTAGCTTTGTGTCAAGAACAAAGGTAAGCCAGTTCCTCTCAACCCAGAAAAATTACCCCTTTGCCACAGGAGCCATACTTACGGTTCCACTATGGCCAGTGAAAAACCTAATAGGAAGAGATTTTTTTGCATGTGTAGCTTAGTTCCAGAGAGAGAAAGAAGCCTGGTTTGCCCTGTAGCAGAACCACTGGAACAGGAGGCTGCCTGTGCCCACAACAAGGCCACCCCTACCACTCCTTCCTAGGGCACAGGGAGGTCAGTCACACACACTCGTGGGTCAGCCAGGATCTGCTCACACAACTTTTCTCCTGAATGTGCAGGCAGGCAAGTGAGGCAACTGCTGTGCTGTATACACAGTCTCCTCCCATTTTTCTCTTTTAAAGCAGATGCTTCCGTACTCAGCTGGGGAGGCCACAACTAACACACACAAGGACTCGTGTACAGTCCATCCTTTCTAGCCTCCCCAGTGCCTCTGAGCCTCAGAAGCTTGGGCGGAAGTGAAATACTTCAAGCAGCATCGAGAGCTTCTTTTTCCCACGAACACATAGGATCACTGACAGTTTTTGACCACGGTAAACTGGCTGCAACAGTGCTTCGTCCAAGGCAGGTCAACTCGGGCAAATTAGCTGGGCAAATATTCTTCCTTGCAATTGCAAATGGAAGTATGGAATACATAATCAAATTTTAGAGGACGTTTATTCATCTCAGCTGCTAATATCATGATGCTTAGAATCCCGAGCACCCCATTCACCTACTACAAATTAAATTCTATAGACATATTATTTTTCAACTTTGTTACCTGTACACATTATTTCTATATAATGCAGGAACCTGATAAATAATTCCTAGTGAAATAAATACCTAGTCAAATTAAAACAATAAAATGTGTGACAGGGACCAGCGCTGTGGTGTAGCAGATAAAGCTGCCGCCCAAAGTGCAGACATCCCCTGTGGATGCCAGTTCAAGTCCCAGCTGCTCCACTTTTGAACCAGCTCTCTGCTATGGCCTGAGAAAGGAGAAGATGGCCCAAGTCCTTGGGGTCCTGCACCCATGTGGGAGACCCGGAAGAAGCTCCTGGCTCCTGGCTTCGGATTGGCATAGTTCCAGCCATTGCGGCCAATTGGGAAGTGAACCAGCACATGGAAGACCTCTCTCTTCCTCTCTCCCTCCTTCCCTCCCTGCCTCTGCCTCTGCCTCTCCTCTCCCTGTGTAACTCCACTTTCAAAGAAATAAAATTTAAAAATAAAAATAAATAAAATGATTAACTAGAATAAACCACTGCATGATATCCACATGCCATATCAGAACATCTGGGATCAGAGTCACATCTCCACTTCTGATCCAACTTCCTGTTAATGCGCATCCTGGGAGGCAGCAAATGATTCCAGTACTTGGGTCTTTACAACTGATGCAGGAAAACTGTTGAAATACTTACTTAAGGTATACTAAGCTGATTCTTCTGTATATTTAAGATAATCGAAAATGAATCTTGATGTGAATGGAAGGGGAGAGGGAGGGGGAAAGGGGAGGGTTGTGGGTGGGAGGGACGGTATGGGGGGGGAAGCCATTGTAACCCATGAGTCGTACTTTGGAAATTTATATTCATTAAATAAAAGATTAAAAAATAAATAAATAAATAAAAATTTAAAAAAAAACACTAACTTAAAAAAAAAAAAAAAAAAAAAAAAAACAACTGATGCAGGAGATCAGCACGGAATTCCCAGATCCTGGCTTCATCCTGGTCCCGCCCCATCTGATGTGGGTATTTGGGGAAAGAACCAGTGAATGGAAGATATCTTTATCTGTACCACCATCCCTCTGCCTTTCAAATAAACTTCTTGTTAAAATGTGGTATTTTTTAAAAAGATGAAATACATTCAGTTTTTAAAAAGAAAGGAAATTGTATCTAATGCTGTGCATGTGTGAACTTAGAGCACAATATACTAAATTAAATAAGCCAGTTACAAAAAATACTGCACAATTCCACCTGGATGCAATACCTAGGGTAGACAAATTAATGGAAACAGTAGAATAATGGCGTCAGAAGCTTGGGGGAAGGAGAAATCAGGAACTTTTTTTACAATAGGTGATAGAATCTTCTTACTGCAGGATGAGAAAGCCCTGGGGGCTGCTGCACAATGTGAACACGCAGGACACGACCAGCATGCACGAGTACGCTAGAACCTGGGCTCCGTCACAGGAGTGCGCCACCCTCAGTGTTCCCAAAGGAAATGAAGAAGCCAGCCTGCACCTCAACATGGGAAAAGCCTGGTGCTGGCCGCGTGAATCCCAGCAGGGATCGCCCTCCCTGCATCAGTGCTGCTCCACACCAGCGGCGCTCTGGGGGGTCACAGTCCAGAGGGCACCGAGGCCAGGCTGAATAATCGCCCCATCTTTAACTAGGAGGTCTGGGACTGGCTCCCAGGAGACCCCGTGAATGCAATCTCGGCAGCTGTTCGTGGCCACTCCTCTACTTCAGGGCGAGCACCTCAAGCCCTGCACCGTCAGCGGCAGAAGGGAAGGACTGTGGGGTGCTAACCGCGTCTTCCTGGAGACAAACATGCAGAGGGCACCACGTCTGCATGATGGCGTCACCCAGCACCTCCAGGTAAGAACCGGGGCACGAGAATGGAACGAGGGCACAGCCAGCTGAGGTCTGTGTGAGCACACGCGCACACCCACCCTCTTCCCCACACACACACCCCACAGAGCATCTCCCTTTCTACCTCCCCTCCCTTTCCCCTTCTCCCTCTCTGCCAATCATTTTCGGGCCCTTCTGATCAACACGAGGGGTTTCTACACTCAGTGTCCATAAGGGACCAGATGGCCCAAACTGTGCTCATTGGGCACAATGGACTTCAGACCCCTCATCCCTAAGACCAATGGGGTCAGGACACCGGACTTGCGCTAAAGCAAAACCTGTGGCAATGAGAGCCTTGCAGCCCGAAGAGCGCCGTGTCAGTGAGGACATATCATTGTCATCATCCTCCTCATCTCCAATCACAGAATCAATGATGAAATCACGTCCCGAGGCATCACCCCCAGAATCACTCTATCACACTGTTAGTACCATACATTTACCAAATGTACTCGCATCGTATCTTTTTTAAAAAAATCAGGCTGGCGCCGCAGCTCACTAGGCTAATCCTCTGCCTCGTGGCGCCGGCACACCGGGTTCTAGTCCCGGTCGGGGCGCCGGATTCTGTCCCAGTTGCCCCTCTTCCAGGCCAGCTCTCTGCTGTGGCCCGGGAGTGCAGTGGAGGATGGTCCAAGTGCTTGGGGCCTGCACCCCATGGGAGACCAGGAGAAGTACCTGGCTCCTGCCTTCGGATCAGCGTGGTGCTCCAGCCGCGGCAGCCATTGGAGGATGAACCAACAGCAAAGGAAGACCTTTCTCTCTGTCTCTCTCTCTCACTGTCCACTCTGCCTGTCAAAAAATTATACAGTGGTTGATTTTTTTTAATTTTAAAATTATTTTTAATTATTATTTATTATTTAATAATAAAAAATTTAAAAATAATTTTAAAATTAAAAAAAATTAACCACTGTATAACTGCATAAAATCTTCTTTATCTCAATAAACAATGAATGATACTGGGCATGCAGGATTCTGGTATTTAACTAACGTTATACATGGTTTTCAAAAAGGGAGGCTTTGCCATTGACAATTCTGGGTACATTCATAGCCACCTAAATATAATGACGGTGATGATGGCGACAGCTTTTCATCTCATACTTTACCATGCACAACATCTCCTTTCAAAATAACCAGGATCAAAGACATGGGACTGAACACCTTCCTTTATTAACAACAGCAATGGCTAAAATAGATTGAGTGCTTACTGTGTGCCAGCCTGCTTCACATTTCATAATCACTATCAAATTTAACCCTCAAAGCCACTCAATGCAATGTACTCCATAAATAACTCACTTACACAGGTGTGTCACTGAACACCAGAAAGATTAGGTGACTTTCTCAATGTCACACACATAAGAGTGGGGAAATTCTGTCACTTCCCTGTAGATGTATTAGAACTTTACTCATTGCAACAAAGAAAAATGACATTGAATATCTTGTCCCTGACTGTGCCTTGTATTTGCTCCTCTACACTGTCAAGGAGAAATACTGGAATTCCTTACTTTGGTCATACATCAGGATTCATAAAGAAATTTCTCTTTTATTTAAAGAAATTTATTAATATATTAGATTCTCTGGGTCACAGTAAATGCCTGATAATTATTACAACAGAATTCTCATCAATTCTCATATTAATGTGATATTAATACAAAGAACAGATCCAGTGTAGTTCCTAGATACAATTCTAAGAATAATAATACTTCCTATTCTCCTTCCCTCTTTTCCTCCCTCCAACTTCGTTCTTTTGTTTCTAATTTTTGAGATCACATAATTAATTTACATTATAGTCAAAGGCTTAATACAAAATTAAGACTTCAAGTAAAAAGCAAAAAGACCATAGTTCACCTGGAATATAGGCAAGGTCTAGGAACAGTAAGCAAATGAAAAGGTGTCCATGTCACTCATACACAGTAAACTTTTGTCGATACCTGCTTCACCTGCACCATTGTCCCCAAGGGGCTGGTGGACATCCACACGCAGAATCACAGCATCTCCTACACTGGGTGCCTCATTCAGATGTACTTCTTCATGGTGTGGGCCCTGCTGGATGACTTCCTGCTGGCCGTGATGGCTTACGACCGCTACGTGGCCATCTGCCTTCCTCTCCACTACACCACGGTCATGGGTCCCCGTCGCTGCCTGCTGCTGGTGGCCGCATCCTGGCTCTGCTCCAACATGCTGGCCTCTTCACTCACACTCCTGATGGCTCACATCTCCTTCTGCGCCTCTCACTCCATCCCACACTTCTTCTGTGACGTTCTCCCACTCCTTAAGCTTGCCTGTTCGGACACCCAGACCTTTCACATCATCATGTTCTCTGAAGCTGCCCTCTCAGGCGTGGTCCCTCTCACCTGTGTCCTGCTCTCCTATGCCCACATCATGCACACAGTCCTCAGGATCCCCTCTGCTGGAGGGAAGCACAAAGTCTTCTCCACCTGCAGCTCCCACCTGACGGTGGTCACTCTCTTCTACGGAACAGTCTTCCTGGTGTATTTCCAACCCTCGTCCTCCTACTCAGCAGGCACTGGAATGGTGGCATCCGTGGTGTACACAGTGGTCACCCCCATGTTGAATCCCTTTATCTACAGCCTGAGGAACAAGGATATGAAGCAGGCTCTGTTGAGACTCCTGGAATGGAGATGATGCTCTGTCCCATTAAAAACTTCTTCCAAACATAGAAGCCCAGTCTTTTCAACGTGTCTTCCTCCCTAAATTTACACATTACATATCGGGGGGGGGGGAATCACATTGGAGACAAAAGCTTTACAAGCAGAACCAACAAAATGAAGACTCTGACTTTGCAGGACCATTATAAAAGCAGCTAACAAAGCCATCATTGTGGTGTGGTGGGTTAAGCTGCCACCTGCAATGCTGGCATCCCACATGGGTGCTGGCTCAAGTCCCAAATGCTCCATTTCTGAGCCAACTTCCTTCCTGGAAAAGCAGAGGAGGGTGGCCCAAGTGTTTGGACCCCTGCACCTATGTGGGACACCCAGATGAAGCTCCTAGTCTAAGGCTTCAGCCTGACTGACCAACTACTTGGCATTGCAGCCTTCTGGCGAGAGAACCAGCAGGTGGAAGGGGTGTGTGTGTGTGTGTGTGTGTGTGTGTGAGAGAGAGAGAGAGAGAGAGAGAGAGAGAGAGAGAGAGACTCCCTCTTCTCTCTGTAACTTGGATTTTCAACATAAACAAACAAATCTTAAAAATAGCATCTCAGACTTACCAAGGACAGACAGCAGTGATCAGCAGTCCCTATGGGGTGACATGATTTGGTTGGTATATGTATCCAAAGAGATTCACACACACACACACACACACACACACACACACACACATGAAAATGCCAGTAGTCAACTGGAGGCTTCTAAGAAAAAAAATCTATTATGGGCCGGCGCCGCGGCTCACTAGGCTAATCCTCTGCCTGCGGCACCGGCACCCCAGGTTCTAGTCCGGTTGGGGCGCCAGATCCTGTCCCGGTTGCTCCTCTTCCAGTCCAGCTCTCTGCTTTGGCCTGGGAAAGCAGTGGTAGATGGCCCAAGTCCTTGGGCCCCTGCACCCACATGGAAGACCCAGAAGCATTCCTGGCTCCTGGCTTCAGATCAGTGCAGCTCCAGCCATTGCCGCCAATTGGGGAATGACCCAGCAGATCAAAGACCCCTCCCTCCCTTCCTGCCTCTCCCCGCCTCTCCTTCTCCCCACCTCTCCCCACCTCTCCTTCTCTGTGTGTGTGTAATTCTTTCAAATAAGTAAATCTTTTAAAAAATTGACCAAGTGACTATAAACTAGTAGTAGCAGAATCTAATCAAGTTAGTGGAATCCAACCCAGCAAATGAACATCCTTTACCTTGTGGTAAAGACTGGGAGCCATAATCAGAGTGAAATGATGTGCCAGGGACTTACATTCTGCCCCAGTTATTTCTGCTGGTTCACTGTTATGGTTTGACCTGACTCCCAAAGACTCATGTGTGTTCAAACCTTTTCCCCCGTGTTGAGAAGTGGTGGAATCTTCAGGAGTGGGACCCAGC